CTATCCTACTCTTTTACTCCGTTCTATCTTTGTTCCTTCTATCCTCTATCCTACTCTTTTACTTCGTTCTATCTTTTTTCCTTCTATCCTACTCTTTTACTTCGTTCTATCTTTGTTCCTTCTATCCTGTTATTTTACTCTGTTATATCTTTGTTCCTTCTATCCTACTCTTTTAATCCAAACTATCTTTGTTTCTTCTATCATACACCCTTACTCCGTTCTCCCCGGAAGTATTGACGTGTGCTGACCCAAAGCTTTCTATAGAACAAAGCTGGGCAAAACCTTGCTCTAGTTGCTGAGAAGGACTGACTCGGCTTCTGGATATTTGCCAGGTTTTGAACCACGGATAAGGACGGATTTAGACGATACATGATTCAGTTAATATTAAGCTTTAAGAAGTTAAAGGATTAAAACATAGGGGCTTAAACAAAGGTATATTTAATCTTTAGATGAAGAAAAAGCAAATTAGTTAGATCATAGACTTTAATGTGTAATTTAAATTTAAGCATTTTGTATTCAAAGTGAACTTATGTTTCTATTTATATTGATAGCATCTTAAAAGTTAAAAGAGATAAGGAAACTGGATTAGGAAAACAAGGTTTTCTCTCGTGGCTTTCATCAGCTGACTTAATGTTCAGAAAATTAAATAAGTGCTTGGGTAATGAATTAAATAAATTTACTTAAAATGAAAGTATTTTTTTAAACCTGCAAATACTATTATAACTATTTAAAACCCTGTTATTTTGGTTTGCAGTGTTTTACAGTTTTTGCACAGAAATTTTCTCTTTATCGAGAAGGTTCAAGGCTTTTTAGATTTAATTTTGTCCCGAGCTTCAGCAAAAACTTTACAGCACGTCGTGCCAAAATAATAGTGTTATTGGTAATTTTTTTAAATGTTTGTGTACTTCATTATGAAATTCACAATGAAGTGAGTAATAATGATAAAGTACACTATAGTTTCATAACCAATATTAACAATAAAATTTTGAAATGCTTATTAAAGTTCTAATTCCTCATTATTTGAAAGAAAGCAAAAATTACTCAAAATAAAATAAAATTTGAATGCCAGATTATTTTTAACGATTTCTGTTCTAATTTTACATTTTAGTGAGCTTTTTTAGAAGTGTCGTTAACGATAAACAACGGTACTCCTTTTTTAATAACTATCTATAAGCATTGACGATGAATATTAATAATTTATAACTATTGCCGCGGAAAAAAGACGATTTCTTCGCACAAAAGGATAAGTGACTCGCTAATCACACTTTTTAATCGGCAGTGGAAACTAAAAATTTCCTTTAAAATTCCTTTTGATCCAATTTCTGACATTTTCTCTTCTAAATTTTCTCCTATTTCCAAAATTAAAATTTGAAAATATTATCATATCTAATAATCTGCTAATCCAACGAGTTCTACACGAACTTGTAAAATTATTCACTTTTATGAGTCAAGTTCTGTTGAGAGAAGTTTCGCCCTATCTTTCCAGAAACTTCCTTTCTCATATCAGATTCATTTATTCCCCCTTCAACTGATTCCCCCCCTACCTCCTTTCCTTCTACGTGTATTGATAATAAAATCCTAATTCTCAAGTTTAACTTATTTATTATTTCAGCCCTGTAAAGAAGTTTTCAAGCGGTAAAGAGCGGCCAACCGGCCGCTGCAGCTGGCAGTATGGAGCAGTTTGACCAGCTGCTCACATGCTGCATCTGCTTGGACCGGTACAGGAACCCGAAGCTGCTGCCATGCCAGCACTCCTACTGCCTGGACCCCTGTATGGAGGGGTTGGTGGACTATGTGAAGAGGCAGGTTAAATGCCCCGAGTGTCGGGCAGAGCATAGGATCCCATACAATGGGATCCAGGGGTTCCCAACAAACTACACACTAACTAAGTTTTTGGAACTCCATGCTGATATTACAGGTAAAAAAAAAATCAGAATTTTTTTACAAGTTTTGATGGTTTTTAAAATCTTTGATTTATTCCATATTTGTATCTGTTTAGGAGAACTACCGGATCCTACAGCAGACCAGATAATGTCAAGATGCGCTGTTTGTTCAGAAAAAGCATATGTTAACCCCTGCGCTCACTGTGATAAGAAGGTCTGCGATACCTGCAAGGACGCGCACTGTGATATCCTGAAACGAGAAATATCTAGAGTTAACAACCAGATCAAGCGCGGGATACACAGGATCGAGGACGCGCTCTCCCAGGTGGAGAGAAACCAGACCCAGCTGAAGAATAATGCAGATCAGGTTGTCGGAGAGATAGATGAAATTCATAGAAGATTATCAAATGCATTGAAGGAGAGAACAGATTACCTCAAGGCGAGCGTAGACAAATTTATGGGAACTGAGATGAGAAGTCTTAAAGATCTCAAGGATAATCTAGATTTGGAGACAACTAATATCCTCTCCAACTCTGATCTAATGGAGAAGAATCTGGATGATGGAACAAAGTGGGATGATGTTGAGTTAATGGACTGCAAGGATATATTTCTCAAGATGATGGATTGGATCAGAAACTATGATACCAGCAGTGATGAATACAGTAGGAAAATCAGGTTTACTTGCCATGATACAATCAATGATCTTGCAAAGAAGATTCTAGAAATAGGAGATCTAAGAATGATGGAAAATAAACCGAAAGAAGACGACTTTGAATCCAGATCCTCAGGTCTTTCCCGCTCCAAGAGTGATCACAGATTAGTTTCCGAGTTCCGAAGACAAGAGGAAGGAAGTTCTCCTCCAATGAGGAGAAGGTTTGGAGAAGCAAGATACAGCAGGGAAGCGAATAAGAGTAGAACCAACTTTGGCAGGTTCGGAGGAGAGGAAGAAGAAGACGACAGCACTGGAAGATCCAGCAGGTTCAGATCTAGATTTCTCCGAGGTTAGTTAATAATCAGGCATTTTTTATTTTTTTTTTTAATTAATGTTCCTTGCATAACATTGATTTCATTTCAGGGGATGATGAGGATGATGGAGACAGGAGAAAATCCCTGCATTTGGAGGACAAAGAGGATTTAGTTGCTAAGAAGGAGAGAAATAAGGTTATTGACACAGAGGATGCGTCTCGAGGTCCTCTCAGCGGTTGTATTAGACTAGCAGACAGTTCTAGAGTCATCCAGAGACTGAAGGTACTATTTATAAACATTACACTGCTTGTGTGACGTCAAAGCTTGATTTTCCCAACTGCGTTCAAGTAATATGCTCTGCTAGGCATGATGCAAGTTGAAAGGTAGGATTAGAAAACATCCTTTATTTGCCTTGAGCTGCTCAATACCTAGTGGGTTCAAGGGATACAGAGCAATAGACTCTAAACCCATGGTATTACTGAACGCAGCTGGTAAATACTGGATTTATTCTAATGTTGCTTTTCAATTTCAGAGCGCTGGGAGATCATATTCTTTACCGAGGCAACAGAAACTTTAAGCTAAACCTACCTAACCACAGACCATAGAACTGTTACAGTTTATTTGGAAACTAATCAAGAAAATAAAAATTTTTGTTTTTCACCATTATTTATTTTATTGTATCTTTGCTTTATTTATACCTTTGTAACATATATCTGTAAATAAACAGTAACTCTGCTCTCAAGATTAAATGTATTTAAGGAAAGAGAAATGGAGTTGCTCCGACCTAAAAAGAAGGATACTCCTCCTCCTGCTCCTAAACCTGTATCTAGACCTGCTCCTCCTCCCACTCGACCTTCAGCTAGTACTGATGATGATATTGATAGAATAAAGAAGGAGAACAAGGCCAAGGAAGCAGCACAGACATCAACAGAAACAACTACAGCTCCATCTGCTACTCCAGTAGTTCCAGCTGCTCCGGTAGTTTCAACACCAGCAGCAGTAACTACACCTACAGCTGCTCCCATACCAGCTGTGCGTAGACTGTCTGCTAATCCTATCCCAGCTGCTGCTCCTGATGTTGCTCCTGTAAGACCGAGCAGAGCTCCAGCAACTACAACAACTACAGCCTCTACAGAAAGCTCTAAACCCAGCACTACTACAGCTAGGACAAACCAAACCAGTGTATCAGGGAGCAGGTTTACCTCTAGGTCAGGATCTCCTAACTCTATTGTCAATAGGTATGCTCCACCCCAACCAGGATATACTGGGTTTGGTGCTGGTTCAGCTCCAACTGCCCAGGAAGAGAGTCCTGACTCTGATTTCTCGTCTAGTGATACATCTAGCAGTTCCGACTCAGACTCTGATGAAGAAGAGGAAGCAGCTGATGCAGCTGATGATGGATATGAATATGAGTATTATGATGAAGAAGAGACTGGTACTGCAGCAGCTAGTGCAGCTTCTACTGCTGCTGCATCTGCTCCAAAGCCTACTCCTCCAAGCTCTATTCTCAAGAAAGCGAATGATACCCCGTCTTATGTATCCTCATATGGAGCGAGTAAAACAGATACTGGAAATGCATATTCTTCCTCCTATGGTGCAGGCTATGGAGCCAGTACTCCAGCCAGCTCCAGCTATACCTCTCAGTATGGTTATGGAGCATCCTCCCAGCCGGAGGCTCCGTCTAGAAATCAATCTGCTTACTCATCATCATACAGCATGAGTGATGATCAACCAACAGGAAGAACACCGCGTTCTTACACTGGTGCAAAGACTACTTCTGCTTATGGAGGATCCTGGGGACAGGATTCTGAACCTGCAGCTCCCACAAGTCCAGGAGTAAGCAGGCGGTATAGTAGATATACTTCTCCTGAACCTACAGCTCCTGTAAGTTCAGAGAGAAGGTTTAGTAGGGAAGATAGTTCTGACAGCACTAGCTACTCAGGCAGATATAAGAGAAGAGATGATAGTGACAGTTTTGTCAGCAGATATCTAGCAAAATCTCGCTCTACAGCTGTCGGCCTTGGATCCTCAGATTCTCCGAGGGATCAAACTCCAGAAGATTCTGTCTCAGCTACACGTAAGATATCTGGTGAGTTGCAGTATCCCAGTGGTAGATCCAGATATGCTGCACTCAAGGAGAGAAAAGCCAGGTTGGCCAAGAGTAAAAGTTCTGCTGCTATAGGTCTTGGTGGAGAGGATGAAGATGATGGAGATGAAGTTTTAACTCCATTCACATCAAGGTTTGGCGGAGAACTGGCAAGATCCAGATCTTCTCACTTATTGAAGGATCAAAACTCTCCTAGTGGAAGTAGAACTGCAGATGCCAGCGCTGATGATGAGAATCTCAGCTCTTGGGCTAAATATTTAAAGAACAAGTATGGAGGAAGAGCAGCATCGAACACTGCTGCTCCAAGTGCATCAAGAGACTCAGGATCAAGAGTCGGGCTATCATCCAGATATGAGACTGATCAGTCAAAAAACTTGATAGGCTCCCCCGCTCCTACACCTCAACAACCCTCAGCTCAGGGCTCCGGAGGTATAGGTAGTATGCCGAAAAGTCAGTACCTGCAAAAGCAGGCCTTGGTACTGAAATTCGGCGCTCGGGGGAGCCAGCCCGGATTCTTTACATGGCCTAGAGGTATTGCAGTGGGAGCAGATAATACCATCATAGTTGCGGACTCTTCCAATCATAGAGTCCAAATATTCGACGAGAACGGACAGAACAGGTTCTGGTTGGGTGGATACGGAAACGCGGAGGGAGAATTTGATTGTTTAGCTGGAGTAGCAGTGAACAGGATCGGACAGTATATTATTGCTGACCGGTACAATCATAGGATACAGATATTTGATCCTAGTGGGCAGTTTATCAGAACCTTCGGGAGCCAGGGAGCAGGGAACGGTCAGTTCAACTATCCTTGGGGTATATGCACAGATGCACTTGGCTTTATTTATGTCTGCGACAAGGAAAATCACAGGGTTCAGGTGTTCCAGAGCGATGGAACGTTTGTTGCCAAGTTTGGAACGATGGGGAACAAGCCTGGACAGTTGGAACACCCTCACTATATTGCTGTATCTAACACTAACAGAGTGATTGTATCAGACTCGAACAATCACCGACTCCAGATATTCGATGTTAACGGGAAGGTTCTCACAACATTCGGATCTGAAGGAACAGATGAAGGACAGTTTAAATTTCCAAGGTGTGTAAATTTTCCTTTTCCTGGCAAATCTAAACCCTTAAAAAACTGCAAATATAATTCTAGTTTTTACAAGAGCTTTGTAAAAGCTTTGTCTGAACAAGAATTCAATAGATATCAATCATCTTCTTTTTGAAACTTGATTTTTTTCAATTAAACAATGTTCAAGCTATAAAAGCGGCAAAGAAAGTCCCGTTAATAAGAGAAATTACGAAGATTTACTTTTAAGCAACTTTTCAAGTGAAATAATTCATCATTATCATTATCATGGAATTTACTGAAAATTTACTGAATTTCCATGATAAGATCGTCAAAAGATATTTGTTTAAAAGTTAACCTAGAACTAAAAATAAGATAGGGGAACTGAGTTTTTGCCACAAACTCAAATTTTCTAATTCCTATTTCTGTGCAACCTGTGATGGTAAACCTTTGTTATTTCAAATTAAGACTAATAGATTTATTATAATTCATACTTTGAAATATCATCATTGCACCAAACATTTTAGCCAATTTTTCCTGAGCTAAATAAAAATATTTTCTGTTTACAGAGGTGTAGCTGTCGATGAGCAAGGATATATATTTGTGGCGGACTCAGGGAACAACAGGATACAGATCTTTAATCCAGACGGAACCTTCCTTAGAGCCTTCGGACGCTGGGGTCAAAGTGATGGAGAGTTCAAGGGGTTGGAGGGGATAGCGGTCAACCAGCAGGGGAATATACTAGTAGCAGACAGAGAGAACCATAGGATACAGATATTCTAGATACAGAGAACCATTAATACAGATATTCTGATACAGAGAACCATTGGATACAGATATTCTAGATACAGAGAACCATTGGATACAGATATTCTAGATACAGATAACCATTGGATACAGATATTTTCGATACAGATAACCATTAGATACAGATATTCTAGATACAGAACACCATAGGAAAATTGTAGAGAATTTTTATACAGAAAATGAAGCACAGAGAACCAAATGATACAGATATACAGATATTTGACAAATCCCATATTTATTCTAATCCTTAGATAACCATTTCTTAATAAATGTTTTCTATAAATTTCTATTTATTTATCTAATTGTCGTTTATTGTAATGGATGCGTAAAGAAACTTAATATTAGCCTCAGACTCAAATTTCTAATCCCTATATCTTTGCAACCTGAAGCAGACCTTGAAATTATAAATTGTGTCGTAAAAGCTTTAAATATCAAAGGTTTACGCCGTCAGATTGCAATTTTCTAGGGATTGAAAGATTAGAGTTTTAGGCAAGGGTTTAGTTCCTTATTCATTAAAAAATGCCAGGCCACGCAGAGATTCAGAGAGCCATGGAACAAGTTGACTTTGTAATACTACAACCCTATATCTATAAGAATGGGGCAGATTTCACCCAGTTTTTGCAATGGGACTTCGGAGCATAGCATAATGGAACTAAGTTTTGACAAAAACTCTAATTTTCTAATACTGAAATACTTAAAAAGGTATATTTTAAAAATTTTGTGGTCTTGTAAAAAAAGATAACGGACAAGCCAGTGCTAACAGAGCCATGAGATTTAAAATTAAATTAAATATTTGTTCAAAATTAGACAAATTTAACTAAATATTCTTTTCTAAAGATGCTCTGAGTCAAGACGACCTTTACTTACCTCTTCACGGTTTGTAAAAATTTTCTTAGGGGAAATACGAAACGTTTATTTGAAAACACACGATTTAAAGGCATAATTATAGTCTTGAACTTAAGCTATAGGGTGTCCCACGAAACATGACAATTGGTGAATAGTTTTGAATGTCTTCTTCCATATAATGTATTAGATATATTAATGACGTTTTGCAGTTTACTTAGTTAAAAAATCTTTTACTCAAATATATTTTACTTTTAAATCAATTATACTACAAAATGGCTGCCGTGAAATATTTTTTACTATTCTCTTTGGCCTTAAACAACTTGTCATGTTGCGGAAGAAGACATTTTAAACTATTCCCCAACTATCCTGTTCTGTGTTTTTGGGTTGTTTGAACTTTATGAACGTGAAAAACGTTACAGTTTATAACACTTCACGGCAAAAAGTATTTTTGCAGATTCAAGTCACTAAACAGTTTACAGACAGATTCTGTTTCATGAGATGATAAATTAAATTTTGATAATGTTTACTCATCTTACCCTAGAACTGGAACCTCAAGTTCTATATTCTGGAGATCTAGAACTTCAAGTTCTATATCCTAGACAACTGGAACCTAGTTCTTTATCCTGGAGAACTGGAACCTGTTCTATATCCTGGAGAACAGGAAACTTGTTCCATATCATAGAGAAATGGAACCTAATTCTATATCCTGGCGAACTGAAAGCTCAAGTTCTATATCCGGGAGAATTGGAACCTAGTTCTATAACCTGTAGATCTGGAACCTAGTTTTATATCCTGGAGAACTGGAACCTCAAGTTCTATATCCTGGAGAACTAGAACCTCAAGTTCTATATCCTGGAGAACTGAAACCTCAAGTTCCATAGCCTGGAGAACTGGAACCTAGTTCCATATCCTGGAGAACTGGAACCTAGTTCTAGACCCTGGAGAACTGGAACCTCAAGTTCTATATTCTGGAAAACTGGAACTTCAAGTTCTATATCCTGGAGAACTGAAACCTAGTTCTATATCCTGAAGAACTGGAATCTCAAATTCTATATTTTGGAAAAATGGAACATAGTTCTATATCTTAGAGAACTGGAACCTCAAGTTCTATATTCTGAAGAACTGGATCCTCAAGTTCAATATCCTGGAGAACTGGAAATTAGTTCTATATTCTGGAGAACTGGAAATTAGTTCTATATTCTGAAGAACTGGGACATCAAGTTCTATATCCTGAAGAACTGGAAATTAGTTCTATATTCTGAAGAACTGAAACCTCAAGTTCTATATTCTGGAGAACTGGAAATTAGTTCTATATTCTGAAGAACTGGGACATCAAGTTTTATATCCTGGAGATCTGGAACCTAGTTTTATATCCTGGAGAATTGGAACCTCGAGTTATATATCCTGAAGAACTGCAGAACCTCAAATTCTTTATTCTAGAGATCTGGAACCTCAAGTTCTATCCTTGAGAAAAGTTTTTGTTTCTATTTTATTTGAAGAAACATAGAACCTGTAATTTTGGGGTCCAGGAAAAGAATATTTCTTAAGAATGAGAAGAGGAGCCCGAGTAGATTTAGAAGAAAGAAGAAGGAAAGTAAACTATTTATTTATCAGAAACAATTATCTATTTCTAAATAAAAATATTTGACACTTCCTGCATTTCACAGCCACTAAAAGATTAGAAAGAGTGAGGAATATTTTTCTGAAGAAATAAAATAAATTTGTTCATTTTAATCTAAACAGTTCTCAGTTTGTTTAGATACTACGACGCCCTCTCCACAGTGTATCTAAACCTTATGCTCAATCAGTATCTTAGACAGTAAACTAATTAAGTCAGATTATCACTGTGCTCTAAAAAGCAGATTAATAATCTGAACTAAAAAGTTTTACTAACTCACTGTGAACTAAACTACCAGAATATAACTCTGAATTTTTAGTCAGACTATCACTCTAAATTTTAAGCTGCACACAAGTGAAAGTTTTGCTTAATAAAGTTTTTTTAATCATAAATCATGTCATGAAGTTAAAAGCGAGCACACAAATATATATGCAATTAAACCCTTACAACAAGGGATACAAAAAAGTAGCGGTAAAGTTGACACAATTTTTGTTAGTTGGGGACTGATTTTTTGAGCTGTGTAGTGTAGTGTAGTGGTTCGGAGCTTCATAGAAATATATTAAATACAAATAGTTTTTACAAAAAGATGCCGTTGGAGCTGTTTTTATAGATGTTCACTCTTTATATTTTACAGAAACACTTGCTCAAAAACTTTTAAACCAAGCTAAAAAAAAACAGTTCCGTGGTTCTACCGAGTTCCCAAATCAAATTTTAAGGCAAATCGATCAATGGGTTCATGAGGTATGATCGGTCATACAAATAGACGGAAAATATATATATACATATATATAGAGATAGATAGATAAAAATAGTGTTTAGTTCAATTCTTCTTTTATCACATGTGTTAAAATTTCGAAACTAAAGCATTGATAATTAATTTAAGAAAACGATTATCATAATTAATTAAATTAATTAATAAAGTTCAGCAAAATGTTTTTTAACCGCTCCGGGAGCCGAAGTAATATAGTTGGTGTGGGAGCACGGAGCGCAGTGGTCAGACGCGCGTATCTCTCGCAGATGGGATAACAAGCGTTTCCTTAAACTTCAGTATAGTTCACGCGCATTTACATAATAAATATGAGCGCTATATAATTAGTTTAAAGATGCTGTGCACAGTGATGAAACGTTCAATTAATATTAAGAAAACAAACTAAGAAGATACAGTGAGAACCAGAAAACTGTGGAAATAATGTCATCTAAATGTTTTCTTTTAACAAGAACCTAAATATAGACAGGTTATTCTTATCATAAAATTGTTCGTGACATTATGGTGTCTCTGAACAAGTATATTGTATATAAAGGAGTTAATTTAATCCTTTTCTGTGTAAAAGATACAAAAAATGTCCCACAAAATATTTTTAAATATTTTTTTCTGAGATAGAGTTTAGAATAAATAAGTGCATAATTGAAGTATCAAAAACATGTCATTTTTTGTGACACGCTGTAATAAATTATCACTTCAACTCCTTAAACATTGGTTTGCCTTGTTTCTTCCCTTGAATCAGTTTTTTCATCAGTAACATAAAATTGAAAAAAAATTACAACTCAAATTTTTAAAGGTTGAAGTTTGAAGGATCGTATCGGAAGAAACTGGTCACGGTATACCAACTACAGGTTTGCATGAAGGAAACGTTTCAGTTTCTCTCTCAGCTGTAATCCGCGAGTTTGATATGTGATGTACAGTGTACACTGTACACAGCCAAACGTTGACGGATTTCCGGGATTTACTTGCTTGTTTCGTGAAAGAATTTAGACAACATATACACTATATCTCAATTTTCTAGATAAAAAGGTTAATTTTCTGTAGAATCTATTGAAATTAAAATTTGATCCGCTAACCACTCTTATCTCATTTCAGAAATTGAGAATGTTTTTACCAAGATGATATTTTTAGCTTTAATCTCTGTATTTCTGGAACTAAAAGCAGCAGGAGCAGAAAGTAAGCAATCCCAAATAAAAGTTAAAAATTAGTTTAAAAAGTGCAAAAAGAAGAAGTTTTAATAGCTGGTGTATAAGAAATTACCAAATTCTATTTAATATCGCCGTTTGTAGATTCCACCAATTTGGTTAAAAGAATTGAGTAATTAAAAATTAGTTTTACCGTAATTTTTACCAGTTTTAAGGGTTTCACATTACATACAAATATGAAGTCTGTAAGTTTCCTGAAGTTTCCTGCCACAAACTCAAATTTGTATAAGCCCTATTTTTGCATGTAATAAAATTCGTAGTTTTATAAATTAAAGGTCTACGACTGACATCTACCACCATGTTTGTTGAGATACTATTTTATGATTGATTGTACGTTTGAAAAAAAATACTTCCTAATGATAATTTAAAGATTTTTTTCTATTTGAAGAAAACAGAAAGTTTGCAGAAACCATTTGATAAATAGCGATCTGGGATAGTTTCACTACCCCTCGTTAGTAAACCGCAAACAGGTTTTACTCGTTAATCAATTCGATCTTGATTGATCATTTAAATCAATTGAATATGTTTGATTGATCCAGGAGTCAAATTATAGAGTGGGAAAGACTACAAACCAAATTACTCCAGATTGTAGAGATATGTAAAAAACTGAATAAGGATCTTTCAAAAACTTAAAAAATGGAATTCCAAAAGAGCTAAAAGGCGAATCTTATATGTTTCTCTAAATCAAATTCCCCTCTTCCTCCTACTCCTCTCTCCTCTCCTATTGAGGCCCTGCCCCCTCTCTGTCCTATTTTCTTAAATCCCCCCTCCCCTTCAACTCCCCCCGTCTCTAGTTCCCAGAGATAACGCCCCTTGGAGCGGAAAATTGAAATCGTCATCAACCTGAAAACCAACAAAATATCTTCTTCGTAACTTTAATCTCTTTAATGAAGATCTGCTAGATCATTCTTTAAATCTTTCTTCCCAACCATTCTTTATTTTCATTATTACTTTCCTTTTCTTCGTTACAGGGATATTTCATTCCCATTTTCGTTAATATCATCCTTTTTTTCTTATTTTAAATCATATCTTCGACAATCTATTCTCATTTGCCCCTTTCATTTCCATTTTTATCTAGATTCTTTTCCAATTTAATTCCCATTTTTATCTATATCATTTTCCCCTTTTATTCCAATTTTTATCTATATTCTCTTCTCTTCCCCTTTCATTCCCATTTTATCTATATCCTTTCTCCCTTTCGTTCCCATTTTTATCTATATCCTTTTCCCTTTTTATTCCCATTTTTATCTATATTCTTTTCCCTTTCATTGCCATTTTCATCTAAATTATTTTCCCCTTTCATTTCCATTTTTATCTAAATTCTTTTCCCCTTTCATTCCCATTTTTATCTTTATCCTTTTCCCTTTCATTGCCATTTTTATCTATATCCTTTTTCCCTTTCGTTCCCATTTTTATCTAAATTCTTTTTATCTTTCATTCCCAATTTTATCTAAATTCTTTTCCCCTTTCATTCCTTTTTTATCTATATCCTTTTCCCCTTTGATTTCCATTTTTATCTAAATTCTTTTCCCCTTTCATTCCTATTTTTATCTATATCCTTTTCCGTTTCATTGCCATTTTTATCTAAATTTTTTTCAACTTTTATTCCCATTTTTATCTAGATGCTTTCCACTTTTATTCCTATTTTTATCTATATCCTTTTCTCCTTTTACTCCCATTTTTATCTATATTCTTTTACCCTTTCATTGCCATTTTTATCTATATTCTTTTCCCCTTTCATTGCCATTTTTATCTAAATTATTTTCCCTTTCATTTCCATTTTTATCTATATTCTTTTCCCCCTTCACTGCCATTTTTATCTATATCCTTTTCCCTTTTATTCCCATTTTTATTTATATCCTTTTCATCTTTCATTCCCAATTTTATCTAAATTCTTTCCCCTTTCATTCCTTTTTTATCTATATCCTTTTCCCCTGTATTTCCCATATCCTTTTACCATTTTATTCACACTTCATTTATATCCATCTCCTCAATAGTTCCCATTTTAATCTAGATATATTATTTTTCTCATTTAGTCTATTTGTTTGTATATCCGATAACTGATGAACCCTTGGCCGAATTGTAAATGTTTATACTTTATTTGAATTACAATTCTACATATTACATACACATATACAATATCGACCTCTCTTCTCATTTAACCAATTAGAATTTAATTTAGTATTTTTAACTTTGTATTGAATCTAATTGTATTAACACTATATGTATAGAGTGTATACGAGCTTATCTTGTTACCGCAAAAGGTTATGAATACTCAGACTAGGAGCTCCTAGCATTATATTTATCCGTGGGAACAATCTTGAGAACTTTTCGCTTCCTTAGTTTCGTCTTCTTGTCAATTCTAAATCTTAGAAATAATTAAATATGTTCTAACAATTTTTTAACTTTTTAATGTTGGTTCACCTGCACGCATTACAAAACATAACAAAAAAACGTTATGCATTTTTTTACATTTATATATCAATATGAAAATTAATAAAAATCTATGGATTTTACATATAACTTAAGTTAAAGATATAGAGCTAAATATTCATTAAAAAATAATAGTACCACCATTTTCCACGCGTCCAAGGTTGCCTAAGCTTGCACATATTTGTTTATTTTAAGCTCACATACTAATACATGAATCACACCTCTTATCGTATACTTGGATGAATTTGAACAAATGAAGTGATTTTCTGTAAAATATTTCACACAATGTTTCAAAACATTTGAAGATGTGAAATCATATAATAATGTTTTAAGAATACAGACAAATTTTCAGTATGTAGCTGTAGATCCTTTCAAAAAAGTAAACTCATGACAATTTAAAAATATCATTCTAATATTCTCCGAATATCTTTAATATCTTTAATAGGCTTTAAGGATGCTTCGCACCCTTTTCCTATTAACCAATTTTTCATTTAACTGTTGCTCTGAAAGTCGCCATTATTTTGCGGATTTTTTTGTTTGAATTGATGCATTGTCAAAAATATCGAACATCGACGTCTTGGACAAAGCAAAGTATACTTATAGTAGGAAATGATTACTCTCGTTATTCTCTAATTTTCTAACCCTCGTATCTTAGCCACCTGTTGACAGCGTAAACCTTTAATATTTCAAACTATTTGATCTTGCAGAAGTTCTACAGGACAGCGGGTAAACAACTCCTTCCTTCGCATATATTCTTTCTATTTTAAAGACTGTGGTTGGCCTGGACGCCCCCATGCTGGTCAACTGGTTGTAAAGAGGGAGGGATTCCTTCTCCCTCCTGCTCCGCCTCCTGAGTCCCACCCGCCCGGAGACAGTGTTGAGTACTCCTGTCCTGCTCCAGGACATGCTCTGTTTGGACCCAGGATACGAACCTGCAGAGAAGACGGAGTTTGGTCTCCGTCCTTACCATTCTGCGGTAAATATAATATTTTTTGGATTTTCTATTTCTTCTAGTTCTTCTATTTACAAAAGTAACATTTTTTTAGGATCATTTCACACATTTTATCTTGAACTGAAATATATTTTACATGCAAATATAAGAATGTATATTTATATGTGTTTTTTGATAAATAGATTATTGAATTCTAGACCTAAACGGGATTGAATTTAAATAGAAGAAACCGAATGCATCTCGTCTTGGTTAGTCCAGGGTGACACTCTATATGGCACAACCTAATACAATTAATTCTTGGTGTTCATTAATTCCTATTTTGGTTTCACCATGCAATTTAGAATACGGAAACAATTAGTTAACGTAAATCCATATATTTGTAATTAAAAAGATTGATTTTGACCAATACTAAACCTAAATTATCAAATAATGTAGAATCTACAATCTACATGGTTTTACAGTTTCCTTCATCCTCAGAATCACTCTCCTCCAATGGGACGATTTTCTCTCCGACCATATCCAACATTGCTCCGTCCAGAGGACCTTTCCCGGTCTTCTTCCATTTTCTCCTCCGGGTCGCAGAAACAACAGACTCCAGAGCAGATCGATGTTGTCGGATATTACTTTTATACATTACCCTCTTACTCTCCTCTGTGGATCCGGGCAATGCTTGAGGTAAGATGACGGAGCTGGGACGGGTCGGAGCTCGACTTAGAGAAGTTTCAACTTGTTCATCTGGAACCTCTTCCTCTGGTATTTCAGATTCCGAAATGTTCTCGCTGTTTAAGATGCTCTTTATCGGGCTCCAGATACTCGGTATGTTGTAGCTCACTATCAAAGGTAGAAAGATACTATGAACTCCTATGAGAGAGTTGAGAGGGATGTAACTAGTGCCGTCCATAGAGAACCTCTTGACAAGATGAATGAAGAGAGAAACCCGGTTGATGAGAAGGATTGGGATCGATGGAAACTCAATTTGCTCCAGATAGTTTATGTAAGCATTGACTGATGGTTCGACTGACTGATTTCTCCTAAAGACCCATATTATGAGGAGCAAGATAAGGCATATGATCTCTGCCAACCCTTCCATCAACTCCAGGATCGCAGTAAACACTAAACTCTTGAGCTCCGTTATTCCATTGTCGTCGGAATCTATTTCTGGAATGATGAGAACCAGAAATATCTTGAGAACTGCGAGAACTCCAAATGTTCCGGTGAGGAACTGTTTAGGATCCATGCTGTAGTTGGTGAGGATGAAGATGGCTTTGTTCACCAGGATCAGTGAGTTGGCACAGCTCAGGATTGATCTGGCCAGGTCGTGAGGAGCGATTACCAGGAGAAAGGAGTTGTGAATCGTGCCAGGATCTTTGCCTAGAAGTATTGCCCAGTTGTTCGGTAGGTTTCCTACTCCTGATAGAGCTGTTAAACCGGAGCAGATGAGAAGAAGAGTGATTAGGAAGGAGCAGGGGGGATCCATCACCTGAGCTCTGGAGCTGAAGTAGGTTCCGAGGGTTGAGATGAGGATACCTAAGGGTACCTGGAGAAGGGACCAAAGGTTCACCATTACCCCAGAGAAGGTCATGACTGACCAACCTAAAAATAAAATAAAAACGATTTTTGGTAGATTTTGTCGAACTATAAAATTATTCAAGAGAAATAAAGGATCAGAAATTAAATTAAAAGAAACGGAAAGAAAAAAATTAAAAAGAGAAAGATAAATAAATTTTAAACAATAATAAAAAAATAAGAAAATAAGAAAAACATGTATTACCTCGGTTTCCTTGTTGCTCCTGTGCTCCGAACTAAGGTTGGCGGGAGGATTGAAAGGTTCTCTGTGTAGGAGAGGATATAAGAGAAGACAATCTCCATGGAAACTGATCTCTATGGTTTCAGAAATAACTCTGGCTGGTTTATCAAAACAAACACAGATTACAAACTTCTACAAATCTTCAAGAATTTGAGACGCTTCGTGTCGCGAACATTCCGGTAAATCCTATCTGAGTTTACATTATTTTACATTTTACATTATTTGTTCAGGACGGAATCAAGGACGGAGTGGATCCGCTGCTCATTCTTCAACTCTATGGTCCTATGGAGCAGATCTCGGGATAGACGGAGATACTTCTACATGCGCCTGGACTAACAAGTATATATTTAACTGTGGAATAGTGTGACGTCTGTCAGATTTCAGATATAATAAATATTCAGAAAAAACATTAAACCCAGCAGTTGTAATGTGTCCACACTATAACACCTATTTCACCTAGTCAGTTAAATGTTAAGCCTCTGGTAAAGCTATTTGGTTTATTAAACCATAATATACAAATAAGATACATTGAATGTTGTCTTTTTTTCAATTGTTTCATGGGTTCAAATGCAAAGGAATTGAGTTTTTGTCACAAACTCTGATTTTCTAATCTCTGATCTTTGCAACCCGATTTCGTAGACCTTTGATATTTCAAAATATAAATGATCTGGTAGATCAATTAGAATAAGTTTGCAATATAAAATGTTTACACAGTCAGGTTGTAAAAAGTTAGGAATTAAAAATTCACGTTTTTAGCTATAGACTCAATTCATTTACAGAGAAATATGCAAATCCATAGAATAGAGTTCATTTCAAAAGATATTATATCAACTCTCAACCGAGAAGAAATGGCCACCAAAAGTTAAATTGAGATAAAATATTATAAATTGGAATAACCCCCCTTCCCCCCACTGAGGTAACTTAATATTTTTGATTAAAAATGTATTTTAAGAGAAGATAAACAGCGATGGTGGCAGCTGAAGCTGGCTGAACCAGCAGATATACTTGGAGTCAGATTAAATCTCAAGAAAGGTAACTAGGTTAAGGGTGAACCCGGTTATCTCAAAATTAAACTAACCCATCCGGAGTCACGAACTAAAGTATCCTACCTCTAAAAGATATCTCTGAAATCCAAAAAGATGGATTCTGGTTGTAAAAGTGTTATTTTCAAGTAATTATTGTACAGGTGAAACTCTATTGGTCCCAGCCAGAATCTCAACACTTTGATCTGTTGCTATAAGCTTATACTTATGTTACACATTTAGAAAGTTGGAGTATCATCTTAAAGTTAAAATTAACAATTATATCTACGCGCTTTATTGATCTACATCTCTTGACATGATTTTTTGTGTAATCTACGACTTTTAACATATTTTTTGCAAATTAGTCAATTTATAAAATTCTAAAAAATTTTCTGTATATTTAATATTTCTTTCAATTAAAAATGAGAAAAGATCCGGTTCTTTTTTCAGAAAACCTGCAAGCTCTGACAGTTTTCATCATAGAAACTCTGCCCAACAACAGAACTGTTTATAAAACCTGCGGACACTACAACAACTCTCTACCTAGGGAACCCAGAGTATTAAACTCAAACCTAGAGAACAGTCTGTTCAAGGGGCAGGAAAAGCACCAGGAGAAGGTTGTGGAGACGGATATTGTTGTCGAGGTTCCCTGCTCCAGGCACTCAGATACATTCGTAAGATAACTTTTTAAATGAACTTAACAGACTTTACACACACTAGCTTTGTCTGGAGTTTTCGCTATAAAAGTTAACCCCATCTTAGAATTTTAAAAACCAGGTTATGAACGTTCATGAGTTATGATCGGACATCCAAACATACATGCAAAACAGGCAAAAAGAGTTACTATTTTATACATATAAATATATGTATAACCCACAGTTAAAACATAAATATTTTAACATTCTGACGTGAAACTTTATAAAAATTTTACAAAGGAATTGAGTCTTTGGAACAAAATCAAATATTTAAACCTCAATATCTTTAGAACTCGATATTTTAAACCTTTGATATTGCAAACTCTGATTATTTGGTCTAACAGAATTCATAGTTTGAAGTATCTTAGGTCTGCAACATTTGGTTCCAAAGATATAGTGATTAGAAAATCAGAATTTGTGGCAAAGACTCAATTCCTTTATTCTTTGAAACTGAATTTTGAAACAAGGTCTATTTCCATAAAATTTAAAACCTAAATGATGCGAAATGAAATATGTTTTTATAAAGACTATTTATAGAAAAAGATCAAATTAAAGTTTTCTTATCAACATTATCGATGGTTTTTATAATATCATTTACGTGAATTACGAAGAGTTCAATTGAAAATGTTGCGTTTACATAGATATCAATGCAAAATTCTAGGAAAATTAATTTTGTGAATAAAATTTTAGTAAAGGAATTGAGTTTTTGCCACAAATTAAAATCTTCTGATTCCAATATCTTTGGAATCTGATGGTGCAAATCTTTGATATTTCAAACTTAGATTATTTTATCTATACGTATTAATACTTTGAAATATCTAAGGTCTACGGCATTGGGTTACAAAGATATAGAGATTAGAAAATCAGAGTTTGTGGCAAAAACTCAACTCCTTTGAAAGTTCATCATGATAAAGTCTAGAAAATAAAGGCAAAAGCAAGCAACGTCCATCTTTCTCTCTTAGGGTTTAAAAGTTTCATGGGTTTACGATGTACTTTGTTGATTCGGTATAAATTAAATTATTAACCTAGGGTGACAATATACTGTTGAGAGATGATAGAAAGAATCCACAATATTTTACTCTTTGTGAAATAGAAGTTTTCTCTCAGGAGGATACAGGTACAGGTACAGGTACAGGTACAGGTACAGGTACAGGTACAGGTACAGGTACAGGTACAGGTACAGGTACAGGTTACAGAACCCATACAAGAAACTTTCAGGCACTCTATTGTTTATTTGTACTGAACTAAATTACATAAAGTGTAACAAACTGTTTAAGGATAACTTGTTAAAATCTTGTCTTTTTAAAACCACTGAACAATATTATAAAATTAGGGTATTGTCGTCTTCCTTTATTTTGGGTTTAGTATTCGTTTAGAAATTTAGATCTTTGCATGAGGCACCAGAAGAAATCAGCAATATATATTAGACTGGCTCCAAGACAAGTTACTCCCATGGATGCTGCAGCCTAGAATTACATCAAACATTAATTCATAGAAATAGACATTAGAGAAGGGAGTAGGGACCCCTCACAAGGACTGTCGTTGTAATCTCAACTGATTGTTTATTTTAAAAATCAGGATTCCCATTTCACAACACTAACATTAAACCTCTATCTGATCAGTAATGTGGAAGATATTGCTATAATAGCGTGAACAGTTTTAATTCTTACAATTTCCTTCATTTTGGTTTGGAAGCAGGAAATGCGCCAGTCATATGAAAGAGAAACCACCATTGAAAATAATCAACTTTCAAAGAGAAGATGGTTAATGTCTTATGCATTATTGAAAAGCTTTTATGGGTAGAAAAAAATGAAATTATAGGGAACAGCAAATATATAAATTCTTTTTTAAAGGATATAAATTAAGTAAAGATAATTATACAATTTTCTTACTCTGAGCTCTCTTCTCTTCATACGAATATTTGCAACCACTGGTGGACCAGATAGAGCGAATACACTGTTATATGTAAAGCAAGCCATTCCTAAAATAAAAAGGAACCGTTTAAATGTCGTCTTTGCAATATTCTCATTTACAAGTTTGTCTAGTCTAAAGAAGTTCCCAATAGTGTATTAGTATTAGTATTTTCTAATTCAAATGATCGTTGGTCGATTCTACATAAATGTAAACCATACAGTGTGTTGATCGATTCTACATAAAAGTATGTATTATGTAAACCATACAGTGTGTTGATCACACTGTTGTAAACCATACTGCAGTTTGTTTGTCGGAAAAGTAAAGTGGAATAGGAATCACACTTAAAATCCTTATCTTCATTAAATTCCATGCGGATCAAATTTTCACGTACAGGGGGAGCCAAAAAAGGGGAGACTTTAATGACTACCTGAAACCAATTTCTACATACTAATCTGCCCTTCGTTAGGTCTTTGAATTATGCCATGCAGTACATGATTTTTGGAAGAAAAAAACAAGTTTACAATTTTCTGGAACGAGAACGTACAAAGGAAAAAGACAAAGTTTCTCTGATATCTCATTCTCGAGAATTTTTATCGATGAAGACGACATTTTCATATTTTCCACGAATGTTTGAAAATCCAGCGCCAGCTGTGAAAACAAGTTGTGAGCGAAATATTAATTTTAAAAAAATCGAAAATATTATGATATATCAACTATATACGAATGCATCGAAAAATCCGATGATTATACCCAGAACTTCGGAGAAATCGAAAGAATTCATAAAATGTCGTCTTGACAATTTTTAATAAGTTTTATGTTAATATATAAATCTCATAAATTGTAAAAGTGAATAAATAACCATGAAATATGCGGGAACAGTTTAATAATTAATTGATTGAAAAACTAAATATTTGCAGTATTCCATCATCAGTAGATTTGGAAAACAACATTTTACAACTTCTTTCGATGTCTCCGAAGTTCTAAGTTTCACTGTAGGTTGTATATGTATAATATCTGAATGGTTTGTTTGGAATTAAATTGATTTTTTACGATTGGTGTGGTCGGGTTCTCAAATTTGATTTTAATCGTTTTCTATCTATATTCAAATAATTTTTAAACGCATCCGACGTCAAATAAGTTTAAGAAATGAAAACAAAAATTCATGTAAAATATATTGATAACTTTAGAACAATGAATATGAAGACGACATNTATATAGGAACCATGGCATAACAATATACGTTGATATTGATACATTTCAGTCTTCAAATATAGATATATGGGAACCTGGCATAACAATAAACGTTGATATTGATACATTCCAGTCCTCAAATACTGCATAATAATAAAATATATATAGGAACCTGGCATAACAATAAACGTTAATATTGATACATTCCAGTTCTCAAATACTGCATAATAATAAAATATAACTAGCTTGGGCACCCACCTATGCTTGGAAATCTAAATTTTCCATATATTTGGTTTGCCTTTTTACTCTTACACTTTTGTGTCGACATATTCATTTTTAACGAAAATTAAAACAAGACAACTCTGTGAGTTTAAAGATTGTTGAAATATAGACGAAATAGAAGAAAACGAATGCATCCCTCTCTCTCTGTGTGGGTTCGAATAACAAATTCTATTTACCTCCTGCACACATTAGAAGCGCAGCAGCTATGAAGGAGAATGCAATGTCCATTACAGTTGATTGTACAACATCTCGTCCCTCCCATAGATAACTGCAGTACAGTACAAATATAAAGGTTTACATGATATCCATTACAGTGGATTGAACTATTACAGATAAATGTAGTACAGCACAATTTTAATGGTGAACATATCCAATACAGTTGATTGTACAATATTTTGTCCCTCCCAAAGATAACTGCAGTGTACAATTGTAAAGGTGTACATAATATCCATTACAGTTGATTGCACAATATCTCGTCCCTCCCATAGATAACTTCAGTACAGTAGAATTATAAAGGTGTACATAATATCCATTACAGTTGATTTTACAATATCTCGTCCCTCCCATAGATAACTGCAGTACAGTACAATTATAAAGATGTACATGATATGATGTTGAATACTTTCCCAAAGTGGCAACTTCTCCAGGGAATTTTCCAAGTATGTCCTAGCCGCGGCGCTCGGCCCCCTAAACCATCCTATACGCAGGTGTTTGGCCCCCATTACAGCCTCAGAGGGCAGCTAAACTAACCTTTGGGAAGTTGCCGCTTGGGAAATTGCACATTTGGGAAGTTGCCACTTGGGAAAGTGTTTACTTGGGAAGTCGCCCTTAGGAAAATGCACTTGTCCTATGGCATCAAAACAACATGCTCGTTTTCCTTCAGGTTTGTTTTAGGCTTAGTAAGAAATACGCATTTAATACAAGAAAGATAATAAACCCGGTCTTGATAAACACAAAGAAAAGTGTTCAGTCAACAGAGCAACTGTTGTATCACGAAACCACAACCAAAGATAAACAAAGTATTATCCGTAGTAGTTATGTACATTATGTACATTGTACATTTACAAGAGTGCATAAAGTAATATTATTCAATAGAACACAAGACATTTCTTCTCTTTTTATTCCTAAAAAATAGTTTAAACGCAGTGAGACCCTTTCACGCACCTCTGACTCTTTAGTAAAAGTAAATTCAACCTAAAGTCTGACCGTGTCAACCTTGTTGCACCGGCTTGCCCTATTGAGTGTCTGCTTTATTTACCCTATGCCCGGGCGATAAAGTACAAACTGGGACCGGAAAGGTTAACCCGGCTCGGAAATTCAAATGTACTACGGCTGCCCGTGCTTTAAACTGTGGAATATAAATAAGATATTCCAGCAATCTTATGCGATTTTAATGTTGTTTAAAAATGCAAATAGTTTTACCATTATATCTTGAATATCAACTATAAAGTGAAATAAATCTGTGTTGCCCAATCACGTACGTATTTAAAATTGAGTCTAACAGTCGTCTCGTCTCCCACTTCCACAGTTACAGACACACAACATGACTGCAGTCAAGGAAATCAAAGTGAATAAATACTAAAGTGGACCAAACTCATAGTTGGATGACGACATTTTATGTCCCAAGTATTTAGAAATATGTATATATATATATAAATTGGTCTGTATACGGAGTGTACAGTAACTGGACTCCCTTTGTTTA